ATCCTTTCCTTCGAAGACCTTTGAAGACTACGTCATCCTCATCGTAACCTGCTCCTCGCAATACTTGAGCTGTCAATGAACTTGTGTTTCAATATTCACAAGATACACCGAGGTTTACCCATACGTGATGCCTGACCGGTCACCTCCAAGCGTCAATGTATGCATCGCACCACCGCGGCGGCGATTGACAACAAGGGCTTGCTAGCTCGGTGCCTTGCTGCGCGATGCTGCACCGGCGCTGTGAACACCTGCATGTGCGCAGTACCCTGTCAATCGGTGAAGGAATATATCGAACGGGCGCGAGTAATACTCCGGCGCAGTGAGCGTTGTACCGTGCCGTCGCCGCATCCCGCCTTTTCGGTGCACTGTCAGAGAGGCAAGAGGCAACAATCCAGGAGCCCGGTAGATGGTCGGCCGGTTTCGAAGCAACCGGCTTTTCTTGCTGCTTCTGTGTGTTGCATAGGATCTCGTGCGCCGCACAGCTGTCAAGTGTTGATGACGCGCCAAAAGCTGTAGCCCACAACATAGCGCGATGCGTGTGCCAGCTCCGCCGCCAACGGCCCGCAAATCTATTGGACGAATGTGAAAAATAGAAAGTGGAGTCGTAGCCAATAGTGTCGCCGAAAGTTGCTTCTTTTCGGGTCGCCCGTGAGGCGAGGTACATAGGCTATATGCGGAGCTGATATAGCTCCGCTTCCCACAACGGCAGAGCATGGTATCTGCGCAAACGCTTGGCAAATTTCGCAAGACCCATGGAAGATGCCGTTCGTATCTTTGTACGTAAGCGAGCGCGGATGTTGTTAAAGTTCCGCAAGATAATCGTGAAGGTGGGATCACATGATCAAGGCTATCGTGAGTGTGACTACCATCATAATATGACACTTTGAGGCGCCTTTTACTAACATCATCCGCGATTTCATTACCTTAAAATTGCGGGCGACTGTCTTTTCGCTGTTTCAACTGCCGTCAGTAACCCAATGTTTTTCACCTTTAGCGTTGCTCGCGTATGCGTAATGACAGTGAATTCTCAAGGGCACGGCGACAGAGATAGCTTCTTGACCAGTGGATGTAGCATTGTTACTTCGTGCATGAGGCGTGTTGTCGCTGGTTTTACCCGATACGTGATCTAGATCACAGCATGGTTTGGCTGCCCCGGTGACGCTGAGTGATAACGAAGGGTTACAGTCTGGCGGGTGTCGACGCCGCATACATGGAGGTCGGTTGGAACAATTCGTGACAGTCTCGCTTATACATGTTTTGAACAGATAGCTCGAAGATTTCTAGGTAGGATCCATGAGTACCAGAGAGGACAGAAGCTAGACCGGCGCCTCAGGACGATTTGCTGCTTATCGCTGCGAAAAGGGGCAGCATCGCGTTCTCTCCTGAGTCTTCCAAAGTCCAGGTAAAAAAAGCGAGTACCGAAGCAAATCCAGGTTTTCGTTAAGGCGAACCACTTCGCCAGCCAAGGACATCTCACTGCCACACCCTCACCCGGAGAAGCTCGCGGCTGGTCATCAAGGGCGCGTGGGTACGATGTAAGGGTCCACGCTGACTGGCTTCAGGATTATCGGGTGCGCGTACTAGCAGACAGCGGCGTCGTGGCAGTGACGTGACGCTATTCGAGGGTACCCACCTACACTGCAGCAGCGCCGTGCCAGCAGTCAAGCCGCGGAGACCTCGCTCAGCGTCTCTTGTTCCCTATGGCACATCCGACGGCAATGAAGGCCACCACTGAGCAAACGCGCGTCCGGGTTGACCGAGACATCACTCACCGGCGGGACTGATCTGGTAGCGAGCGATCCAACACACTCGCCATCCAGTTCAAGCCTGGTCGATAGTGGCCCAACGCTGACGATAGCACAATCACGATGCGCTGTCATATATTATTCGCCGCGCAATAAGACAGCGGCTATAGCCAGGTGGCCATTCCCGTGCACGCGCTGTTGGCTGAGAGACTTAGTGATGGGGTGTTATTGGCAACGCTCGCTTCCCGTGCCAGAGTCCCAACGGTGTTGGGCTTGCGACGAATCTCCCGAGTTGATCGGCACTGTTGTGCATGTTGTTCTTGATGCGCTTCTTACAGCGTAGACTTTGGTTCCGGGGACAGCAGTGAGAGCCTCTTCATCCTTCAGGGCATCGATCATGCTGACAAAACTTCGCCTCGTTAACATCCTCTTGCTCGACTTTGGTCGCGCCCCTTCTTCCTTCTCTTTGCGATCCAGCGTTGGCTGATGCGATAGCTACCAAGAATATTCAGCCGGCTGACGGCTGCCAGAGTGGTTCAAGCGGCTCCACTGCGATCCGCGCCTCTGGTGGTATAGCCATGGTGTCGACGTACGGCTGGTGGTCGACGCCGGTAGGCGAATAGAATCTGGCATGCCTGCTGTTAGTATAACCCGCCATTGCCGTGATGCAACTGAACACCAGTTCAGATCGGCGCACACTGCTCACTCCAGGCGCAAGTCCAACTCCGTCTACAGAGACACTTCTCCAAGTTCTTTGCTCTTTCCTTTCGGTATATGGAGTAACTCACCAGGACATGTGCGAGACTTGGACATGTGCGAGACTTCCCAGTGTTCAGCTTTTGCCATAAATTATCATGGGCCGACCTTGATGCCTGAGACATCAGGCCAAACGATGGCGCGTTTCAGAAGCGGTACCGCCGGCCGATGCTGCCACCGGAGTAAGCACCCGCATCGCCTCGCCCTCTGCCCAGATACCATGTACCTTCGAGTCGCATAGTTCATCTATTTGACAAATCGTCTAGGTGCAAAGCGCTGCGCTGTGCAAAGCTTTGCGAAGAAGTTTCCGAGACGTCATGTTGTCTGTCCAAAATTTCCAGCTTGATCCGAGTCATCTCCGGATGATGTCCGTGCTTTGCATGACGTAAGAGCGGACATTGTTAGCCACTTTCTTCCAGAATCACGTTGAGGAACTTTCTTTATACGTGCGCTTGCATTTGACTATAGTCCTCGGTGTTGCTATGGTCTCCTCCACCCATTAAGTATATCCACAACATTCTTTTAAAACTGCTTATTGGTCTGTTCCTTGGCCAGCGGACCCATCATCGTGTTCTCCAGATCAATATTCAATCTCTACGGACGCGTCGTGACTTCAGAGGACATAATCACGTACGTAGAGCAACTAGCGGTTGCCTATAGTTGAGGTGCTATCTTGAGTTATTGAGCCTGAGTCTCAACACAGCCATCGCGAACGGCGAGTATTATCCGTGTGTATCTCATGGCTTCACCTTATCTCATCGCGACACCTTGCTAGCTTCCTGAACATGGCATCTTTGTCAAAGAACCGATCTCTTGAATATGCTTCAAGGCCTCGTCTTCATCATCGAGTCAACCGATCTCGTCACTACCTCTACCTCCTAAACTCTGTTCATCTTGCTACAAATCTCGTCTTTCTGTATCTTCATTTCACTATTGGTTAATTGCCATAGTACTCTCAGCATCCGCTCGACTTTCCTTCACCAATGTCACCAACGCGATCTTCCTCCTTCTTAAGCTGTGCGGCAAGGGTAAACGGGATGGGCCGCAAAGGCAGGAAGGCCTTGCTAATGCAGTCGCCATCAAGGAAGCAGTCATTTTGCAGTCGCGCTCGACACTTGCGACGCGCAATGCTGAGCCGGTGAGTCTGGTGGAAGGAGTGGCTGCACATCACCAGAGCGTACACTACCGGCATTGGTTACGATCAGCGCGGTGCAATAGCGGACAGAGGAAGACAGGAAGAGGCGGTCGGTCCTTACCTGCGGGGTTCGTGAGGATACAAACTGTAAAGGTTGCTGGACCCACTGCGCTGCTCCAATCATTGCAATGCCATATCAAGACCCTTATCTTGCGACCTTATCTCTCGGCGCGTTTCTACCACCTTCTTTAGCCGAACATCCTCACAAGACACATATTCTGGCACACAACGAGTCCGAAAGAAAGAAGATACTCAAAACCGACATCCGAGGCCGTCACCGACAGCGCGCGATGGACCACCAGCATCACCAGCCGATATGGCCTTTACTGGAAGGCGCTTTCGACTACACGATGAACCTGGCAAGCGAGCTCTGGACGATGATCTGGAAACCAGCCGAGCAGCCGCGTACGCAGCCAATGAGCGCGGTGGCTGCACACAGCTCACAGATCGAGGTCGCCAGAGTGGGTGGTTGTCTGCGCACGAAGAGGTCCAGAGAGATCGCGAAAGCTTGCGCAGCTGCGCAGAGAGAAGTTGAGCGATGACGAATTCATGCAACACGCATGGAGAAAAATACATATTTGGTAATGTGGAGCGCCTATCAGACCAGGTGAGAAGCTAATGCGAATATCAGCGAAGATTTGGCGTTACTGCTACCGACACGTCGACGACCAGAGCTGACTAAGAATGACCGCGAGCCGAAGGTGAGTGACCATGTGATCAGGAGCGGTTGATGACCGATGCGCTAATTGCCTTGCCATTATGAAGGTCACCGAAGTCGACGTCCCATGCGAATGCAAATTAGGTATCCCAGCCAGGCGCCAAGGGCAGTTGCGCACAATGAGCATTTGGACGGGGATATACAACCTATGTCTGGAGCCCGCATGCGATAGCATTGGATGTGCATACATTCGAGAGAGGATATTGGCCGTGCAACATACAATATCACTCCTCTTGTCGAGTAGAACCAAGGTATGCCGAGTTGCTCGACTTGTTCGCTGTTTCCACTGCAAAACTGGTCAAGAACCATGGTTCAGAGACTATGCGGCGACATCAGATGTGACTACTTCTTTCGGCGCACACAGCCATCTCCTACAACCATCTCCCACGTCCATCTCCCACATCCATCTCCCACATCCATATCCCACATCCATATCCCACATTCATCTCCCATGACCATCTCCCACAACAAAGTCGCCCGACGCGGCAGCATACGCGCAGTTCATCATGCGGCTTCAACCGCTATCCCCACAAAGTCTGATGAAGACCGATATCACGCCTTGACCGGCGACCTGACAAAATCAATCATGAATTCCGGCTTCGCCAACTGGGATGCATTCACAAAAGCGACCAGCCAACTCTTGGCAGACATCAACGCCGCAGAGAAAAAGTACGCTGCAGCACACCCAAAATCTACACACGAGATTTCCAGGATCATGGATCTTCAGCAACGAATTCGCGAAAACAAGAACGACGCCCTCCAAAGCGTACGCAATGGAATCGACTTCCCTCCAACGCTACTTCAAGCTCATCGCTTTGCTGCGTACTACAAGTCACCGGAAGCGTTTCTGGAAAGGAACAAGAACTTACGTGGATTTGAAGAATGCGCTAGGAACAGCAAGAAGAACCTTGCTTCCGCACTAAAGTTGGGCATACGCATGAAGAATTTCGACATTGCTACATTGGAGAAGTTCACGAAGTTGTGCGAGGAGTACCAAGTTCTCATTCCCGGTTTGAGTGGCTAGCCGGAAGAAGAAGCCCGACCCAAGGAGTCTGCCATGCTTGAGGAGGACCTTATTCCTCTTTGCGCAAAGAAGATATCTGTCGAGGACGTACATTTACAGGGTCATCGTCACGGTCGCGCGATCTGACATTCGCTCGGCGCAATATGCCATTCTGCAATGTGCATCATTGGAGTGGGTCTATCACTGGGTGGCACTACACAGCCGAGCTTTAACAGACTACGCGGTGGTCTAGACTTTGGGTACAGGCTGATATATTTCGGAATCCCCGAAGGGTTTGACTACAAGGACGTGTAGTAGTGCTTATGTATCGCGAAATCGAAGTCTCCGAACCGTCTATTTCCTGCACGTGACTAGCGACTCGGCATGGCGGTTGTGTGCTTGCGCATGGAGTTATTTCTTCCCATTCTGCTATCAATCTTGTGACTGATGCTCCAGAGATCTCGAAGGCAGTAGCTCGGCTGGTCGAACCTCCTCGACACCCTGGATAATAGCAATAAGCTGCGCTCGCCCTTGTTCAAGAGTCCAAGAGCTTGGAACATGATTCGGGTCAAGTCCGCGGAACAGATATTCGAGCTGGTGATCTACAAAAATGGCTGGTCAGCTTCGTACGTGTCGATAGCCCACGCCACAGCTTGTCCTTACCCCCCATATTGTCAATACATTCCAAAGTCTCGGGAAAACCACGAATGGGCTCATTTGTCCTCGGATTGTGGATAGATAGCAGAATCGTATGTCGGTCGGCTTGAGCATTATAGGCTGTCGCGTGTGTGTTGTGCTCCCTATCAAGTTCTAGTATGACAATAAAGCATAGCTTTATGCGCACTCACCTCGCTTTTCTGACCAACAAATCTTTGTACACAACAGACAGTGTGCGACTTTCGGCATCCATAGAAGCCCGGAGACGCAACACATTGTCGTGGAGACCTACAACCGTCCTTTCGAGGGACACAAGGCGTTGATTGAGGTTCTTGATATCGGTGCGGACAGTAGCGGACTCCATAGCAGCAGTCAAAGGGATGATGGAAATGGCTTGCAGCTGACCGACTGTAGAGTGTAGCTGCGACTCGAGAAAGGCGAGCTCAGCTTGTCTGTTGCGCATTTTGGAGTTGGTATACAAGAGCAGATGATGTTGGAGAGACCCTTCAGTGGATGTTTGGTCGACGTGAGGTAACGATTATGAGGGGATCGAAAGCTTGAACCACCCAAGAGCCGCGAAGAGAGAGAGAGCGCGTAATATTGAACATTCTGGAAAGCCCGCGAATATCCCTTCGCAGATGCACAGACGTTGCGAGTTGCTGTTAAAGGCTGATCGACCCCTCGGTGACTAGAGATCACTTCGAACTCGCCCATCGAAGACGCCAACATACCACTGCCATCATGGAGAACAACCCCTACGACATCGCATTGCAGCTTGAGGCAGCCGCTGCCCAACTCCGCGCCATCGGCACCCTCCCAGAGACTCAACGCGATGGACCCATCAAGCAAGCTATGGAATATATGCTGGGGCAAGTCTGCGATGTATGCGAAAAGGTACGACAATTGAATCACAACTACGTCGCTCTCAACAAACAGGTTCAGGCACAGTGAGTGATGTCGGAGGATTCGAAATAATCGAAACATGTATTAACAAGTATATGTCAGTATCTGGAATACCGCGATGCGCCAATATCACAGTACATACAAACTTTCTGAGATGAGAATGGGTCATATGCGCGACGTCAAGACGAATGAGCCCATCGCCGACTTTCCATTACGAGCAAAAGACTTCCGCAATCTGGATTGTACGTATGTCCCTGCATGGAACATTTTTTCCCACGCTAATCAATGTTGATATAGCCTTTGAGTGTGAACGTATCGCAAACGCGTTGGGAAGGGTGGAGAATTTAGGCGAAATTGGAGAGAGGCAGCAAACAGTCATCCACTTGGTCGGACTCGATACTGCCGCCGTTTACCACTGGGTGTAGTCGCCACTTAAATAATAAACTGTAATTCTGTTGTAGGGCGGTCGGTAGGACACTATCGTCGTAGCTTTGGCGTGGGATACGAGGCTGGGTTGGTGGTACGCGTACCATAGTGACATGTTGATCATGTCGTTAGAGTCAAGAGTGTACGTCGACGTGTAATTCACGGTGTTTGAGTCGACTGAACTCCAAAGAAGCAAATGGCTGATGCAAATTTCGTAGAGTTGATGAGACGTGCCGGCAAGAGGGCGGTCGGATGACAGTCAGCCGCATTGCTGACGTAATTAGCGTATTGTACGCGTCATTTCCAGCCCGCATCGCGCGTTGCTTGCACCTCGGTTCTCAACACTACGGGCAGACCTCGCAAAACTCATTCGAACACTGTACGGTTGCGACGTTCAGCCAATGGTACAACACCTGTTGCAACACTCCTCAACCGTGGATGAGACTCCCATAATTTTGGGCGCTGATCAATGCGCGCCTAGAATGGGCGCGTTGAGCGTCCCGAGGTCACGCGTCACCGACGCGGCGCATTTCTTTACAGATCACGTACGACCGATAGTCATGACCTGAGTCCTTGGTCAGATATCCTCGACTTTACAGGTCTCCTTCTTCCAGAGAAAAGAGATGTGAGCCACCTTGCAAACACACATCGCGCACTCACTACTGTTACCATGGTTATGCATCGATGCGTTCCAAGGTTACCACCTCAGACGCCTCCGGCAGATTAGCGTTGAATGTACACAACGATTCTTGGGTAGAGATCAGAGTCATTGCAATGTGATCAATGCGATGTGGGCGGATGCATCAAGCTCATATGAGTCATCTCAAACAATGTAAGGCGTCCACTCAGTATACCTAGGTGCATTGCTCAAAGGCTTCACTATGCATTAACGGCATACCCAACACCATGACGAGCGACGCATCTTCCACGGCGGAAAGTAGTTTCCATACCAAGGAAATGGCGACTGCGCTCGGAGAAATCGACCCCAACCCGCCCCAAAACCCCCAGACTTCATCATCTACCAAATCGAAGGCGACATCAGCACTTCGAGCGAAGCAAGAGACGCGCAAGTTCCGCGGGACTTCCACCCCCGATCCGGCGCTTGACATCGACATGGACGAGTTCACATCCTTCACACAGTACCTGCGATCATCGAAACGCGTTCTAGCCCTCGTGGGTGCTGGCTTGTCGGTTGCTTCGGGGCTTTCGACGTTTCGCGGCGATGATAGAAGATGGAGAGGTATAGAACCTCAGGAGCTTTCGAATATCGAGGCCCTGGTGCAAGACCCGGTGAAGGTATGGTGGTTCTTCAGCGATCGGATGAAGCGCGCGCATGAGGCAAAGCCAAACCGGGGGCACATCGCGCTTGCGAAACTCGCAAAGGAAAAGAGTGGATTCTTCGCAATCAATCAAAACATCGATGGTAAGCAGACCTCTCAAGGCTAGGGCCTGGAAGAATGTCGATTAACACAACCTAGACCTGTGTCAACGAGCGGGCATACCCAACGAACAGACTGCGCAAGTACACGGCACTCTGTTTGAGATGAAATGCAGCAGATACGCCTCAGACTCTACCGAACGTTGCGACTACAATACGCCCGTCTCCTATCCTGCCACCGAGGCGCTCACGATCACATCCGACATCAGCGACGCGTCCGTCCCTCTGCCTCCTCTCGATCATACCCAGCTCCCTCATTGCCCCCGGTGCGACAGCCTCATGCGACCGAGCGTTGTACTCTTCGGCGAAAGTTTGTCGAGCAACCTCACCGAGGCTATACACTCTTTCGTCTCTTTTGAACCTCTCGACCTCTTGCTGGTAATTGGTACGAGTGGCGTCGTCCTTCCGGCGGCGATGTATAAACCCAAGGCTCGGAACGCTGGTGCGAGGGTCGCATATTTCAATATAGAAGAGTATTATGACGAGCCTGGATGCGTTTGGGCGGGCGACTGGATGTTTCAAGGTGATGCCGCGGTCATGGTCCCTGAGCTTCTAAAAGGGATCGTGGGAAATGTCGGATGCGTGTGATAAGGAGTAAGTTGTCAATCAGCACTAGGTGAGAGATGTTCAAGTGATATGAGGTCTCACTTGGAGTGGCCAGGTAGCTGAAAAACGAATTGAACGTGGCAACGCATACATGGAAAAAATCCGAACAGGCCCGGAGCCTATATCAACGTTAGGTCTCTGCATGTTTCTGTATTAATGTAGGCTGCAGACCTGTTCAGTCTTTTCCCAAGGTTGGCATGACACCGGAGCTGTTAATCTCACTTGGCGGTGGATATTGTGTTTGTTTGCTACTGGCGCACGTGCCATGTGCGACTGCCTACTTGGGCCACGCAGCTCTCTTGCTCTTACTCCGAGACGACGTCACTCGGGTACCTACCTGATTCCATTTTGCACTCACTCCCGTCTTCCTCTTTCGCGCCTCTGCAATGCGGAAGTAACCCCAAACGCCAATCGAACAGACGTACCTGAACCATCCTTTCGACGAGGCCAGACAGCGCAGGCGTGCTCTACTGCGATTGCGACTGCTTCAGTACTCTCCACAGTCTTAAAAGCATTCAAGAAGGCTTTGTGCGATGTCGTCAGTGCAGCAGACAGCGCAGCGCGCCTGGACGCTACCGCCGGCGGTATCAAATGTCACTAATCCCCTCGCGGTCGCCCTGGCTTTGTATCCAATACAGGAAGTAAGGCATACTTCCGTGAGCCTCTTACTCTATGCGCCTTGCTAATTATGATCTGCAGGCCCTAGTCTCGCTCCTGGTACCGGAGAGACTCGTCACTCTTACCCAGCTCTGCCAAACTGTTCATGGCCACATTCGCATGGACAATGCGAGCGCAAAAGCCAATCTTCTTTCTAAGACACTGTGCTCCGGATTCGGTTCGTTCGTCAGGATGTCTACTCATTGCCCCTGTCCAGCGAAGACATTCCATCCTGTGATGGTTTGCTCGAAAGGTGGATTTGGAACAGAGTCACACCCGTGTGTGGGATGTGGTGTCAACACTTGCGACGAGTGCCGCATCCATGTTTTCTACAACTTCATGACAGACGATTCTGGGCTCGATCAGCGTCGATGGTGGGCAGGCTACTACTTCCTCAACCCCATGGCTGTTGCAGTATGTCCACCTAAGAACTCCGATGGCAGCGCCTGGCATCTACCTGTCAAGGAGATGCTACCTCGCCATGACCAGGGCCGCCTGCACATTCCCCTAGCGATCGGTGCTCTAGGCGATCCCGAGCCGATTGAGCCGATTCTCGATCTGAATTTGGGTACCCACCAGTTCATCAGTCCCCGTGGGCGTACACAATTCCCCTACTCTGGCAATAACATCGTCTCATTTCTCAATCTGACTGTCAACAAGCGCAAAGACCTCGCATGCCCTTCCTGTTACCTGGAACGCCAGAATCAAGGTGTGGCGCCTTGTTCCTGCACCCTACGGAAGCGCTTCCTAGACCGATGGTTGTGTATGCACTGCTACATCGAGGAGGTAAACGTTGATGAACAGCTGCGCCGCCATGTTGTGAAAGCAAGCGAGGTCGGACAAGGCCACATACATGTGTGTGGCTGCGGAACGGAGTTCACACCAGACATCATGCCAAAAGTCATGTGCAACTGGTGCAAAGGCGAGATCGCAGAGCTCGAGCAGGGCACCGAGGATGATGCCACCAGTGCGAACGCCGAAGACGACAGCGAAGAAGAAGAAGAGGAACTCGAGAACGGAGATGACGAGGAGGAACATTCGGCGGCTGACTTTGCGGGTCTGCCTCTGGACGAGTTTGGCTACGCTGAGAACCGCGACGGGTCTCTTTCGGTATACGTGAACGGCGAGTGCATCCGCGGAGAACGTTTGGGACGAGCTATGATCCGCCAGTGGAAGAGAATCCAGGGTGAGCACGTTGAATGTACTTGCTGTATCTGCGACGAGAAGGACTCTATGCATGCTCACGCGGGGGATGATTCAGGGGACGAGGACGGGGACGAGGACGAGGGCGAAGATGGCGAGGATGACGATGACGATGATCTACCAGATCTGGAAGACGTCGAGTCAGCTGCTGGCTTCGAAGATCCATGGGGACTGGACTAAAAGTCCTGAGTCTACTGCACGCTTGTCCTGGTAGAATCACGCAGGGCACCACCGGTGAATGCGTGAACTTAGTCCCGTTCGGCAAGATACATACCAAGATGATCGCCGTATGCGATGTACATTTGCTTGTTGCGTCCAGTTGTAGGAATTCTCCGTGACCGCTCTTCCTCGGGAGAAGTCTCTAGCCTATTTACATACACAGCAGCAGATCAAAGAACGTATTCTAGTCGATACACCAATAATTGAGCCAGCGATAGCTTCATGTCGTCTGTCAGTCGAACACCCAGATGACCAGGTGACGAAACTGTTGGTTCCTCCCCGCAGCGCGCACGACCACTTGCTCGAAGTGGACCCCTGAAGCTTGCCGTAGTGTCGTGGCGTGAAGCTTGGCACTGACACATGGACCAGAACACTGTTCCTGATCGCTTCGTCGCCGCATCCCCATCATCACCTGCACCTCCTCACGTCCCAACATCGTCCAATTGCGGCTTTGCCACACCGACTTCCGTTTTGCCAAGATGTGTTCGTGAATCCGCGGATCTCGCCAGACCTGCCGGCGAGGTACCGATTTGCACGCGTCGCGACTGGATATATTCACCACGCGCAATGAACGTATGAAGACGTCAAAACACTTCGAGAGGGACCCAATACTTTCGAAATGACCGAATCATGGCGTTTCAGACGCGTATCGCGTTTCGAGATGGCAGTGACAGCGGTGAGTTGCAGTATCTTATCGGCGCGACTTTTGCCAAGACCTCTCGCCCGAAGAGAACTTTCGGAACATCGGTGAAATGCTCCAAGCACAGCGCATGACTGTGCGTCAATTCAATGGATAACACGTCCCGATTCCTACAGAAGCGCTCGGTCCGTCTACTCATAACCTGGTGATTTCCTCTTTTCTCTTTGCAAACAACTTTGTCATTGTATTATATCCACGACCTCCCAGATTGGCGTACCAAGTTTGACCGGACGCAACTGCCACAACCCTTATTCTTGTTACATCACTTTGACTCGGCGTACATGCGCCTACCAATTTAAGGTCGCAGTTCTTCTCTGGTAGCCTGGTTGCATCCACACACATAATTACGGACGTCAACAGCAGGATAATGAAATATCTACCCACCTTTTCAGAAGACCGCAGCGCGCAGAGGACTTCCCTTAAAGACATAGCGCACGAAACAGTTGGCGAGACGTACATCGAAGAGGATCCATCGGTAGCAGAATGGTTCCGCGAATTCATTCCCACCTCACATGGCGCCGCACAGTATGTACGCGAACTATTTCCGAGCGCACGGTGGCTGAGGCGGTATAACTTACATTGGCTGGCTGGAGATGCTATCGCTGGTATTTACAAAACACCTGTACCCCTTGCTGGCTATAGCTAAAGAAAATGAAGGTATCACGGTCGGTCTCGTCGTCGTTCCACAAGCCATGGCATATGCTTCGCTTGCGCGGCTGTCACCCGCCTTTGGTCTTTACACTACGTTTACAGGCGCGTGTTTATATTGGATCTTTGGTACATCTAGAGATATCGTCATCGGTGTAAGCTATTCACGTCACTTTGGGGTAACCAGCTAATCCAAGAATAGACGACAGCAGTTGGGTCCTTGCTGATTGGAAGCGCCGTCAGCAAAGTTGAAGCGGAACACCCAGGGGTGTATCAACCTCAGGAGATTGCACATGCGCTAAGCTTCCTCGCTGGCGCCATTATTCTCGTCTTCGGTATCCTTCGTCTCGGCTTCATCATCGAGTTCATCCCGTACATTCCCATCTCAGCATTCGTCACCTCGGCCAGTATTACTATCATCTCGACACAGCTGCCGACTTTGATGGGCATTACAGGGATCAACACGCGTGAGTCTCCGTACAAGGTGTACGTCAACTTCTTGAAGGGCTTACCCACGGCAAGACTGGATGCGGCGATCGGTATCACATCCATCGTACTCCTATACTTGATCAAGAACCTATGCGCTAAAATGGAGGTGCGACAACCTCGGAAGAAGAAGATGTGGTCTATGATCTCCTCGCTGCGTCTCACATTCACTATCTTGTTGTACACCCTTATCAGCTGGCTGGTACATAGGACGACACCTGCAGGCGAAGAGAAGTTCCGGATCGTAGGTCATATTGAGAAGGGTTTCAGCCATGCAGGTGTACCAAAGATGGACGGAAAGCTCTTTGGCTTGGTGGCTACAGAACTCCCGGCGATCATCATCATCCTCATCGTCGAACACATCGCCATCGCCAAGAACTTCGGACGCAAACACAACTATACCGTCATCCCTTCACAGGAGATGATCGCGCAAGGCGCTGCCAACATACTGAGTCCTTTTGTGGGTGGTTATGTGTGTACAGGCTCTTTCGGTGCTTCTGCTGTTCTCTCCAAGGCTGCAGTGCGCACTCCGTTATCCGGCGTCTTCAGCGCAGTGGTCCTAGTGTTGGCGTTGTATGCGCTCACAGCTGTCTTTTACTACATCCCGAACGCAGCGCTTGCTGGTCTGATCATACACTCCACCGTCGATTTGATCAAAGGACCAAAGGACTTGCACAAGTACTACCAGCTATCGCCGTTCGAGCTATTCATCTGGGTTTGTGGTGTTGTCATCGCATTCTTCACCGATCTCGAGACGGCGATCTACATTACTGTTGGCCTCTCCTTTGCAATGCTGCTCGTCCGCATGGCGAAAAGCCCAGGCAAGTTCCGGGGTGCTGTTGAGGTGACGCGCATCGTACGCGACGACCGCTCCTGCGATCAGTCCGTGTCGACATCAAGCGCGTCGCTGTCTTCACAACCACACGGGGAACAGACGCATCGTGCTGTAGCTATGCAGGAAGCTCGGCAAGTGTATATACCCTACGACGTCACAGACAACCATAACCCGAACATCACCGTGGAGCCGGCATACCCCGGCGTCTTTATCTATCGTTTCAGCGAGAACTTCAACTACATCAACCAAGCTTATCATGTTGACTACCTTGCCTCTTACATTACCTCAAACACCCGCCGGACTCAAGCGGATGACGGTATCCGCGCATGCGATCGTTTGTGGTGCGACGCGCCACCCACGGAGAAGCTTATCGAAGAGTCGTCATGTCTGCCCGTCTTGCGAGCCGTTGTTCTTGACTTCTCCACCGTCAATATTCTCGACATTACCAGCATCGACGGATTAAAGAGCTTACGCGAGACGCTTGATCGCCATGCAGCGCCCGGTTTGGTAGAATGGCACTTTGCTGGTGTTCACAACCGGTGGACACGCAAAGCGCTAGCCTTTGCAGGTTTTGGTTTCCCTGCTTTCGTAACTGCAGAGTACACAGGAAACTGGTGTCCAGCCTATACCGTGTCGGCAAGTCTCGCAGGCGCGACATGCGAAGAGCAAAAAGAAGTTGAAGCTGCACGGAGGGGAATGGGAGTCAGGGACGAAGAGCAGGGCAAGGACTCCACAGAAACAAATGCACTTGAGGTGCAGTTGTCTTCCACGAGTGAGAAGCAGAAGTTTTACCCAATTTACGGTGTTGATAGGCCGTTTTTCCATCTTGATCTTCACGACGCCGTTGACGCTGCGGTTCGCGATGCAAGGAAGGCTGATGAACACGAGGCGCGCACGAGTTGTACATCGACTGCATGGTCAGGGATGCCAGCGGCCCAAGAAGAAGCATAGATGTCTGCGTCGTCATTTTTTCTTTTGACCCATCTCGGGTAATGGCGTTTTGCACGTCGGGCGTATTAGCGTAATTGGTGTCTAGGTCTGGCGTAGCATCAGCATTTGCATCATCGGCGCTCAAGAATGGCTAGCATTTAGAAGCACAGAATGTTCGTATCGATAATACATCTCCTCACTACCATAGCTTTCACAGACGACTGTAACCCCACCACCCCCATCATGTGCTATATTCCACCTTTCGGATACCTACTCTCGCTACCATATGCTTCACTCCTCAAGCTCCAAGCTATGATCTCATCCCGCGTCATGTTCCCCAGAGTCATTCTCATCGCCTCCCTCACAACTTTGTCGCGCTCTTGCACATCGCCCAATTTTGCATGTAGATCCCTATACTTGGTACTGCATTCCGCTTCCAGATCAGGCGTAGAAAAGGGTGCCATTGCTTCAGTCTTGTTCTTCTGCCGCTGGTACGCAAGCATGAGTTCGGCGTTGCGGCGACGGGTGTAGGCAGCATCGTCCAGGAACGGGATGAATGTGTTGTGAGACATTAGACGGAAGTGTATGTGTATATGTGTGGATCTGTATGTCTTGTACAAGTTCGCCTCCTAGTTGAGAAGCTTATGTTCAGTGCACAACATGGATGGTACACTTTGATGACGTATATGAATATCTAGATCAGTCCATGGACGCTTGCTATGGTAGAATTAGTTTGACCACAAGAAAGTGTATGTGACAAACAGATCTTGCTTCAATCGTCTGGCCTCTCCCATTATTGTTCGACTACTTTCATCGAACAATGAGTGGATGCTAGTGTATACTATAGTTTTGGAGCAGCTCCGATATACATCGTAAGCCGGACCCCTAACTTCCCCGTTACTGCTTCTCTACCTCCAATGGCGGGACCAATAGAAATCGAATTCCTCCTCCTTGCCCTCTTCCATTTTCTTTTTGTATGCTTCCATCTGCAGATGTTGCTTCCGGGTAAGCCACTCGTGACAGACGAAGTGTCGATGCAGACCACGAGGCGCGGCAGAGCCAGCAGCCACGATGGCTTGGTCAATCAGAGTGCCACTCAGATTGGGACGGTCACCATCTGGAAGATGTTCCGGCCAGGCACCCTCCTTGTCTTCGTCCTCCTCATTCGGTACAAAATCCTTCGCCTTTTCCTCTTCTTCAGTGGCCTTCTTAGACCCGGTCACCCGACCATCGCACCACTCGCATACAAGCCACGAATCTTGGTCCTGTGCATCGAATGAGCTCCCACATGGACATTCTCCTGGTTCATCTCCCGCCAGCATCTCCAACATTGCCGCACCACCAGGTTTAGCTTCGTTCTCGAGGTAGCATTCAATACACAGCCATCGGTCGAGAAACCGCTTTCGAAGTGTGCACGTACACTGGTGCTTGACCTCCGTGGCTGAGCACGTCGTGCAGAGTCGCTTAAGACGACCTGCAGTAAACGAAGACAGCGGTCCAGCGACAGGCCTGAAACCGGAAGAGCAAAGTGAACTACCCTTGGTTCTGAGGAATAGAGTATCGCCAAGATTTTGATCAAGTAGATTGTCAATCGGTTCGGCTTGGGCCACTAGATTGGAGTCAAATGGTAAGCCGAGACGGCCACAGTCATGCTGGGGTCGGCCCTTGCCAGGCGGTAGCCTCCAGGGTGGCTGTTCTTCATCGTCTTCAGGTGGGTACCGGTAGATGGGCTCGTTAGGCGGGAGAAGGCGAACGGGAGCGTTCTTCATCATGATGTGGCCTGCCCACCACCTTAATCCGTGTGGTCCATTATCCTCGGTCATGGAATGGTACGTCACATGTAACCTGCATTCGTCGCAAGTGTTCATGCCACAGGTGACACATGGACGGCTCTCCATGTCTGGGTCGTTGATCTCGCTGCCACACGATACTTGCACGTGCCATTCTCCTTCTCTAGCAGGCTTGTGCTTATGCTTGCGTTGTTGAACACCAAAGCCTGGGCACAGTACCTTTGTACGGAGATTGGTACGGCTAGCGGCGCTTGAGAAGTCCAAGTTTGAGTACACCGTCTGTGAAGTTTGAGCTAGCCGGAGAACATCTTGAGGCCGAAGGTGCTCGACAAGACTAGAAAGAATAGTGTATTGGGTGGTGGCGTATAAAAATGGATTGTCCAAGCTGTTGGTGTTAGGTAGCTGCCAGGCATGGTTCTGGGTGGCGTTGTTGTCTCGACGTGGCATTCTAGATTTCTTTTTGGGTTTCTGAGATCCGTCGACAGCGGTGGCTGGGTGGTCATCTGGTGGTTGGGACATGGTTAGTTGAGCGACGGGGCGTAGAATGATTTGCGTCGACGGTGGGACTCATAATATACAGTTCGAGTGCCTTGTCGTGTTGTGTGAAATGCACGCTTTGTCATTTCACCTTGACGTTGCTGTCACATTATGCTGATTACAAACACGACACCTAGGTAATCCGTTGTGCATTTGGCAGTGTGTGCGGATAGGAAGTTCGGCGGGCGAGCGTGCGATGGTGAAAACGTGTAAAGAACGAATGCGCACAGAGGAGACGACAATGAATGGGATCCTGTTGACTTTCAGCACGCAAAAGGAGGCTTAGTCTGGATTGATTGGGCTTAGCTTTGGACCCTGGCCAATCGGCTCATCGGCATTACGTCACCACACGCGAATGCTCCTTCTTTCTTCTCTACATCACGAACATGACCAAGACCTCGATTTCAGCATGCCAAAGGACGACATACCTGAACATTCGAACCGTAATTCACTTCCGACACCATCGCTCTCAATTTTGAGACTCACCTCACCAGCTTTATCGTACCCACCATCCGTCTGACAGTTCGTAACTCGTCCATTCTTCGCATAGCGTCCGGATCGGACCGCCTTCCGTATATCTCCAGCTCCATCAAACGTACAAACTCATGATGCACCAACATTTCCAGACACGTGATGATTTCTTTGGCTTCCCGTTCAAGTCGACTGTTTACTGCTCTTAGTTCCATGTTTGTCAAAGCCGTCGCGGCACCAGCATGAAAGTCTTGAATAGATGATAACGGAGAAGCTCTTCCGGTGGATCTGGAGTTGTTGACGCGTGATTTATATCCGTTGATGCTGGCAGACACGGTACTGACCGACGAAGGAGGATAGCATAAGTCGGGATGTCTGACAAGGCGAACGAGGATGTCGCATACGTAGTCCACGCCGGCACAAAAGGCTTGCTGGTGTGTTTGAACTTCCTTCAGTTTGCTCCACTCTGGGCTCATCACGACGAGGTGAGACCCCCTCTTCCGCTTCATTTCTTGCTTGTTCTTCTGCTTCTGCTAGTCACTATCTTCGTACGAGCAATGCTGGGTTACCTAGGTGGTGATGTCTATGGCGGTTGTGCGTACTAAATAAGATCTATGGTGAGTATCGAGCTGTTATGATCGCGCTTGATGTATTGATGTAGAAGGCAAAGTTTGCTGCAACAGTCATGCTGCAGCCCAATGGCATTCTAGAAGCATCCAGTGGGTCTACTGCACGCTCACTCAGTTACATTGTGGTATAGCTGAATGTGGAAAGCATTTTCAATAAGACGCCCAGTAGTCTGCAGCAGGGACTCTCAACGAATGTAGACTTCCCTTCAAGAAAATGTCGGCTTCAGCCGTATGTACTTGGGCATGAAACCTGTCGCAGATGATGAGCCTGGGGGTTCCAATGACCTTTACAAAATACAACATTACAACATTGCTCAACCCAGAAGCCACAGCACGCCTACGGCACGGGTAAATCACAATATCAGTATCACGGTCAATACGAGCGGAGACGCGGAGAAGAGACCATCGACCTTGTATCTTAGCGATGTACTTACTGCTACCTATAATTTTCGTTTGATCACGCGACTATGAGTGTTGATAAGACCGGCAGCTGCGCTGCGTGTAGGAAATTGGCCGTGACGACCTCGGGAGCCGGACAGGAGGCCCGAGCACACTTCCCACTTACTTACCTAGGTAGTCTTTGGACTTGCCGTGTCGCAACATCATCAATCCCTCCCCCAAGCTTGAAGAAATATTTAGCGCAAGGATCACGACTAAAGGGTCTGTTTGCGACTCCTGTTCGCGCACTGCTTCCCACTTTCCATCCCTATCATCTGTTCCGCCCCGCCTCTTCGCTGCAGCACGAGAACAAGCTATGGATTCTACTCAAGATGAAATCAACGATGCGATCAAAAATGGGACACTTGACGGCATTAGGAGCTTTGCAGAGCTTCACAAGCGCAGACAAACCTTCGAGACACAACTGGAGCTGCTACCCGATATTCATCATCGTGGCCGACTCGCTTTCGACACTGCCATCGACGTAAACGTTCCGGAGTCGATCAAAGCAGGAGTTCCAGTAGTTTCCGTTCTGCAGCGGGTGCTCGATGCTATCGGAGCGCTTTACGACGAAAACACACGTCGCAATGCAGAGTCAGTCCCAGAACGCGAAAGCACTACCGAGCACGAGTCTCTAGTGAAAGATGCGACACCCTCCCAGCGACCTGATTACCAAAATGAGCAGCCACGCGAGCATTCATATGAGATGGAAGAAGTCATAGAATCAAGCGAGCTATTAGACTATGACGAGCCAGATAGCGCGGAAGAACAGCTCTACGAATCCGAGTCGGACTACGGAAAGCCATCCAAAGGAAAAGGCAAGCTCAAGAGAGGCAGAAAGAAGACGAAAGACATCGAAGCCGCCAGAATTGCTATCGCAGTGGAAGCCAGGCAAAAGAGAATGCGCCTGACCCACGGCACGCCTAATAGCGACGCGAAGAATCCTAAGCGCCATCTCTTCGGTCTCAATTCTGAATTGGGAGACACGAGCGCTACGCTTTCACCGACACCTTCATCACCGACAGCCAAGAGTGGGAAACTGCAAAACACTGTAGCAGCATCTTCACATCCTCGTGCGAGTAGCAGGTTATCCAGGGTAAGTATGCCGCTTCTTACATCTAGATCAATCTAGCTAACGGACAAACAGCAAGCCGAAAGTACACCCAGCAAACCATCTGCCGACCTACCCTCGCCGACGCCCGACAACGTAAATCCCACCAACCTGCCAAGTCTCATCGTCAAGCTCAAGACCCGTAAACCGTCTACGCCTAACCCAGTACACGTCTCAATACCCAATTTCCATCCCAAGCGCGGACGTCCACGGAACCCGGAGGAAAAATCGAAGAGGAAATCGAAGGGTAAATACAAGAGTGGGGAATTTGTAGACTCAGATGACGAGGGCGAGGAGATGGAGAACGATGCCCCTACCGACATCGCGCAAGAGACGATGCGAAAGACGCGGAAGGCTGCAGTCAAGCCCGCTGCCAAGGCTATGAGCAAATTGAAGACGCTTGTATTTGGCAGGAAAGAAGAAGAAACCGTGAACGGAGACAAGAACGCCGATGTCGAAATGGCCGACCCAGAACCCATCTCGAGGAACGGTACGACGCGCGAGACCCGGCAGACGCGAAGCGGAATGACCACACGTGGAAAGCAACCTACTAACCTCTCCAAGGCCAAGCAAGATGCAAGGAAGCCCAAACCACCAGCGCCGTCAGTCAGGAAGATGCGGGAAAAGGCTCCGGTAGCTCCACGGCCAAAGCGGAATACTACAACACGGCCGCGAAGAGGTGCCATGTCCTCACCCTTTGAGTTGTTCGAGCCACCTCCCGCAGAAACCGCTATGCCCGCAGAAGAGAATGTCTTCTCGGACACGTGGTCAGACACCGCCGTGATACCAAACAGCCCTTCGCCTCCGCTTATCGCTGATTCACCTGATTCACGCCCGAAATCTCCATCATCTTCCTCGAAAGACGACACTCCATCCATTGCCTCTCCAACAACCCCAATCCCCCTCGCACCCCAAACCTTCGCACCCTTCCCCCCACTGACCCCCCGCGACCTCACCCCCTTCACCCGCGGCGCGCGCATCGCGCTCGAAAACATTCTGTCAGACCACCAGTCCGAGCCCTTGACCTCCCTCATCGACCTAATCGAAGAGCTAGATGACACACGACCGATTGTAAATGATTGGGAGCATGTTACGGTGATGAAGGGCGGGTGCTGGGTGTACCAGGTTATGAGGGATGTGTGGGAGGAGGTTGTGGACGAGAGTGATGAGGAGGAGATGGAGGTGGATGTTAATATTGAGGAGGTGGTGGGGAGGGTTGGGGGATGGGTTGATAAGGAGGTGGAGAGGTTAGGTGGCAATGAGGAGGGGGAGTAGGTTGGGGATGGCAGAGGGAGAGACAGAGGGCTTGTGGAAGAGAGTTGACTGGGAGTGCGATGTGGGAACAGGCAAGGGTCAGAACGGAAGGATGGACGAATTGATCATGATTGTTATACATTGTATGTGAAGGTTGTTCAGTCCAGCTGAATATCTATATCGCATGATGTCTTGTTGCTTTGAGCGCTTCCTTATGAGGCTGCATGTCATGCATCTGCCTGGCGGCTATGATCCTACAATCACATCTCTTTACAGAATCCAAGCCAGCCCTTCCCGGTCTTGGTTTTCACTGAGTCTGCGTTCCCAGCACGATGCGTTGAGTTTTCCCAAGGCTTGTACATCGGAGCTGACCGCTGGCGTCCATGGAGAACTCCAGACTTCTAGCACAAGCTGGACGTCATAAAGTTGACCGAAGTGCAAGGACCATCCCGGGCGACTCAGGATCCCTGGGGCGAAATTTTGGTTCTGGCCCCCAGAGAATCTTACTCATGCAATTGATCTGATTCAGCTGCCACCGGACG